CTTTTTTTAATTTTTTTGTCTTAGTTTTGATTTATTTTTATTGGAAAAGAGATATGAACAAGAAAAAGAAAAAAAGAGAATAGAAGTAGGAGTTAGGAATAGAAAGAAGGAAGAATTAAATAAATAAATAAATAAATAATTATTAACGCGAGGCCTTTCAAATTTAATCTTTATCAACCGAGTGAATGTGAAAAGTATGATTATGATATAACACTGCTTATATATTCGATCGAAATAATCTACTCTTTAACTTATTTAAGTAGACCTAATTGATTGAATAGGACCTTAGTAATTGATCATCTAATCATCAATAGAACGTATGCATATTCTAATGATTATCTTCTTCCAATTTCCAAAAATTAGAATAAACATTTTTTCAATCGTACTATTCTATCACACCCCTGTACAAATTGTTTATTCGTAAAAAACAATTATTTCACGCATCAGATATTATTAATAATTGTATCATTATCTAGCCGTGCGTTCTTTTTTTTTGTTCTCTGATCATTAGTTTTGAATGCATTATAATACATTATTATTCAATGTTATGATATTGTCTATTACATTTAATGCATTAAAATGCATTATTAGTGAATGATATGATATTGTTGATTATATTTAATTCTTTATTATACTTTATTATTCACTGATATGACATTGTCTATTATATTCAATGCTTTTTAATACTTTTTAATTCAATGATACGATTATGTTAGTTATATTTATTTTAATGCATTAAAATGCATTACTATTGAATGATTTGATATTGTTGATTATATTTAATTCTTTATTAAACTTTATTATTCAATGATATGACATTGTCGACTGTTTACAAGATGTGATGCACTACAATGCATTAAACAAAAATAGTTTTATTATTCATTTATTATAAGTGTAACTGATTTTCTTACCAATTGATTGAGATGTTTTTAAAGTTTATATCCTTTTATTTGTCAAAACTTCACAACGATATGCTGCTCGAAATTCTGGCCGACCTTGAAGAAACAAAAACAAAAAAGTTATATTAATATTTTCTTTGTCGTGATTTCTTTTTCAAAACTGACGACCTTTGATCGTTTTCTTAAACTAATAATTTTGTTGTCAAATAATTGACTATTTGTATTTGTACACAAAAGAAATAAATTACATTTGGATTAAAAAAAATTCGAGTACTCATGTCAGTACGGCACTTAATATAAAACGTTTATTTTCATATCACATTTCTAACCATTTACGTGTATTAGATAGATATGCCCATCGCGCCCAAAACCTACATGTATCTCTACCACGCGACGATGACATGCACAAAACTGTTTCGAATTCTACTAGTGTGATTGTATTGAACTACGTAGAGTGGTTGTTACTAACGCATGAGATTCATGCAGGATCGGAGTGTTACGTCAATCAATAGAATGAATAGTAACAATCAAAGCAACAGTTAAGTAATCGATTTTTCTTGATTTTTGAGTCATAATCATGATACTTTAATGTGAAAGATTTCGACTGGTAAAACAGAACCAGTTACAGACCAAAATAGAGTTGCCTGTTTGTTATCTTCGATTGTTTTGTCTTTAGTTTCACAGCTTTTTCGATCCAACTGGCTATAGAGTTTTATCTGATACTGATAAGCGATCAATTGAATAGGATATTAAACAAATGTATGAAAATAATATAATAAATCTTGCTAATTCATCATCGTCATCATCATCATCATCATCATCAATATCGATATTAAACAAATCAGGAATATCTAGCACAACTTCTCAAACAACAACAACAGCAACTTTTACAAATTTAACATCATCATCAAAATCTAATACAAAAAAAAACGAACAACTATGGAAACATTTTTAGAATCAATTGGTGACAATATTGTATTAGAAAATAATGGTGGTACACGTGCAACAATAATTGAAGAATTATACACTTATCGATCATTAGCGAACCAACACAACAGTAAAAATAAACCAAACACATTATCATGTCTTGCCTTTTGGAAAATTTATGAATTTACATTACCTTACCTTTTTAAATTAGCAAAAAGATATATATGTACACCAGCTACCAGTGTGGCTGCTGAAGCAGCATTCTCAACAGCATCTTATATTGCGCGTCGAGAAAGATCACGACTGTCAGTGAAAAATCTTGAAGCAACAATGTTTTTAAAGGTATATATAAAAATAGAAAATTTGCTTTGTGAGGATATTTATAAAATTTAATGAAAAAATATTTTTGAGGAAATAATATTAGATAACTTTGCTCCTCATTGTATTGATATTAAGACAAATTTTCTCTTATTCCATTTTTGTATTACTATGCGTGAACATCCATTGCAACTAATTAGGATGCTAAAGACATTGCGTGTTGAAGCGTGTCTAGTTGTGAAATAAGGAAATATATCAATCTCCCCTTATATTTCTTAAGTAATTTTTTCTATTAACAGTGGCTAAGTGCAAGAGTATGCTAAAACCATCTCTTTTATAACGCGACTGCAATGAGATATACTTTAAACATATGAGTACACCGACCAGTACATCACTCCAGCCAAGAAATGCTATAAAATCCTTACAATTCATTGATATACTTCAAAAAATATGAATTTTGTAAAAATATCTCGGGTTATTTCATCATGCATGGAAAACTGTTTATTCATGTATCAATTTGAACTTCGGCGACTCCCTTTGTGCAATACATAACTGACAGGAACTATTCTAGTGTTTAAAAGAACGTAATGTTTCTAGTGACTCTCTGCCATGCATGAAATTCACTCCAAAATATTTAATCGATGTGGTTCATAAAGATAAAAAAATCATATTTTTAATGGTCACGATACTGTTGAAAACTAGCCAAACTTGTATAGGTTTAATCTTCTACTAAAGTAGTAACTTTGTCTGAACTATAGTTTTGTTTGTCATTTTAGGACAAATTGGGTGAATAGGTGGATAAAGTCAACTTATATGTACATGTACAATCAGCTCTAGTAATATTACAGGTTTTATTGTTATAAAATATTTTATGCGTTTTTTTATGTATTCTTTTTTGTTACTTTGATTTGATTTGATTTTGTTGTTTTTGTACATCTCTTATTTATTCTATTCGTTTTCTTATATACATTATGGTTAGTTATGACAGTATAGTTTCTAAAGTTAGGATGATCTTAGCTAAAAGACTTGTACACTATCGAGACATTTTATTACGTCATTTTATGGATAATCGATGTTTGTATTTTAAAAAATTTTATGTTCTATCTCATCTATGCGTGTGATATCAATATGTTGTTTGCTATTTTTGTCATATTTCTCTGGGTAAAAAGATATTTATAATACATTAATATTTAATAGAGAAGTCAATTGTCGAGCAATATCTGTGCTCTAAAGTATTCTTTCACACTTCACCCTGTTCTGAAAGATGTCTTCTTTGAGTGTCATTAAAATTTTATTCACCAGCTGCACTTCTTTATTTGTCAATTTTTTTTAAATTTTAGAGAACTATTTTTTAGTGAGAAGGCTGAATGTTCAGATAAAAACTTTCAATTGAGTCAAGCCACAAAAAAACTTGCACATCATATCATGGAATTTCGTTTCATTGAGACTGCATTTAAGCTAATAATAACTGTTAATGCAATCATTAAAATATATAAGTATCGTCAAAAAACAAGAGATACAAATCAAATAGTTTTTATAACTTATATGTTGCATATCTTCATTACAAAGTTCCAGTAGACAATAAATAAGACACTGACTATGTATGAGAGGAAAAGCAGCATAAAATCATAACTTATCTTTTATGCCATTGCTTTTTACTATCTATCTAATTATACAGTCTTCCAATTTGTATGAGTACAGAATTGTTCTTCTTGATTTCAGAACTGACCAGCAATGTAAAATACTTTTTTTCAAGTTGGCTGTTATATTATACACGAACAGGATAAATTGAGTGTGTTTGAAGCATAACTTTAATTTACATTAATGACTACACTACAATCACAGAGTATCTGTAGTCAACTCACGACTTTAAATTCATGAATAGTCGAACAGTGCACTTTTTTTGATAAAATTTTCAACCTTTGGTGTGTAAATATATGCGATGGAGAGAAAAACTACTCATCCTCAGTTATATGGACAGAACTAATTCATCTGAAATTATTTTATAATGCCGTATGTGACAACAGTTGACACATAGTGACACAAGAATAATCAATTAATGCTATGATATAGCTCGTATTAGGTCTTTAATAGGTTCATGTCAGTTTATTATGCGACAAAAAAGAGGGAAGTATTATTCATTTAATAAATTAAAGATCAAATGATTGATGACTCAGTCATGACTGGGTACCAGTCGGACTGGGTACCAGTCGGACTGGGTACCAGTCGGACTGGGTACCAGTCGGACTGGGTACCAGTCGGACTGCGTACCAGTCATGACTGGAACTGGCGCATACCTAATCAAGAGCAAAGAAAAGAAATAAAAAAAACGAAAATAACAAAGAAAAGAGAATAGATAGGATCGAGGTAGATGTTACAGAAGAACACACTGTAACAGGCACAATTAGTAGGATAATTGACAACATGCTCTCGATAAACCATGATCAGAAAACTCTCTTGAAAAGAACTTTATTTGGATGATACGTGCATTTACCTAAGAGATGATTGATGATGTACTTCACTTAACAGTGAGTACTTCGATGAAACATCGCGAGAATGACGCAATCAAATGACATTAGCCCCAAAACAACCATTCTTCTTTCCACCTACAATCACTCGCTCGTTCATTCTTTATTTGGACCAGACAATAACGGTATTATCCTTGAGTCCATCCAAATAAACACTCAATGATGTCGAACATCTTGACTGAATATCAACTTCAGTTTCTGAAGAGGTGTTCATCAATCTTCCAAGGTGGAAGCAGCTGATTTAAATCTGCCAAAAATCAAGCTTGAGCCGCCAAAATCATCCCAAATCGCTGCTTCCCTCTTGGGCCTATCTCAGCTATAGATATATCTAACTTCGATTGCTAGAACTTCTTTTATGAATCCAGTTGTATGAATATTCATGTACATACGCGAACAAAAACGCAAATGTTGCCTTACTTGTTGTTGTTGTTGTTGTTGTTTTTGTTGTTGTTGCTGTTGTTGTTGTTGTTGTTGTTGTTGTTGTTGTTGTTGTTGTTGCTGTTGTTGTTGTTGTTGTTGTTGTTGTTGTTGTTGTTGTTGTTGTTGTTGTTGTTGTTTTTGTTGTTGTTGTTGTTGTTGTTGTTGTTGTTGTTGTTGTTGTTGTTGTTGTTGTTGTTGTTGTTGTTGTTGCTGTTGTTGTTGTTGTTGTTGTTGTTGTTGTTGTTGTTGCTGTTGTTGTTG